CCCCCGCCGTCCTCCGGCAACCCCCCCTCACCGGACACAGTGCGGGTCCCGGCAGACCCATCACAGGGGCATACTCCTAATCCAACCCCCCTCCCCCTGCCCCACTTCCCTTCCCCAAAGCCAAACACTTCCCCTCCCTGCTGTAAGCCCGTCCCCTTTCTCCCCCAACCTTATGTCCTGGTCCCAACAGACATCACCGCTTGAAACGCAACCCCCACCTTTTCTATTATTTTCAATGGGAAAATTGACCCCACGTAACACGTTTTCACTGAACACGATCATTTTCTGAAACAGATCTAGAGTGTTAAATGAGGAATTACTGTACACAGACCTCTAGCCTATCTCAAGCTTTTTAATCTTGCCTCAGATGGAAGCTGTTCCATACCCAGCCTCATTTTTGTTGCCTCTCTGCACATTTTTTCCTCTTCTTTATCTATCCCTTTCCTAAGGTTCCCATCGTTCTCTTGGCTTTGACTGCCCCTGCACATTGAGATGTTCTCAGAAAACTATCCACAAGGAATCCAAGATCTCGGTGTTGAGTGATAGCAGGTGAATTTAGAGCCCATCATTTTGTATGTACGGGTGGACTGTATTTTCCATTTTGCACCTACAAAATTGAACTTCATCTGCCATTATATTTCCCAGTGACCTAGTTTTGAGAGATCTTTGGATTTAACAATACTGTGTGCCTGTGTATAGTCTCCAGACTTTTTCATAAGAACGGCCATAGTGGGTCAGACCAATGGTCCATCTAGCACAGTATCCTGTCTGCCGACAATGGCCAATGCCAGATGCCCGGAGGGAGAGAACAAACAGGTAATCCTCACGTGATCCCTCTCCTGTCACCCATACTTAGGCAAACAAACAGAGGCTAGGGGCACCATTCCTACCCATCCTGGCTAATAGCCATTGATTGACCTATCCTCCATGAATCAATCTAGCTCTTTTTTGAACCCTGTTAAAGTCCTAGCCTTCACCACATCCTCTGGCAAGGAGTTCCACAGGTTGACTGTGCGAGCAGGGATTTCCACTTCCCTGTTTACCCCTTTTTCCACATCATTCGTGAATATGCTGTACCGGGACCTGCGCTGTTTATATCCTTGGAAGACCCCACTATTCACCACTCTTCACTGTGAAAAATGACCGTTTATTCCCACCCTTTGCTTCTTTTCTTTTAACCAATTACTAACCAACGAGATGATCTTCCCTTCTATCTCATGGCTGCTTACCATCCCCAGATTCAGAAGGGAACAAAGACATCCAGCTGGCAAACTATTCTCCAGCAAATGGAAGGGGTCACATTTTCTTTCACAAAGAAGGGTTCAACATTTGGATGTAGGCTCTTCAAGTAGATGTACAACAGCTCATCTGGAAAAGCACAAGAGAACTAGCGGCTCCCTGATACTATAACTGCATCTAGTTCTATATTTTCTCTTAAGGAGTTAAGTGGATGTAGAGAGGAGGGCACATGGAGGTTTTGCTCAGAACTTGCTGGAACATGTCCAAAAGAAATATCAGTCTCACCAGTCCTTTTGCTAAAGGTCACAACTTCCTTTGCAGCTGGAAGTGGGGACGTAGGTTTCTTTGTGATCTAGTAATTGGCCCTTTTGTTGGAAAATGGCCTCCCAGAATCCCCACTTGCATGAAACACCATGGACTGGGCAGGACAGCCCAGCTTTGTGATCTAGTAATTGGCCCTTTTGATGGAAAATGGCCTCCCAGAATCCCCGCTTGCATGGAACACCATAGTTACAGGCCTATGTCTGGGATTTAGGAGACGTGGGGTCAAATCCCTGCTCTGCCACAGACCTCCTGCACGACCATGGGCAAGTCACAACTCCCCTGGCAGTACAAGTGGGTAACAGCACTGCCCTTCCTCAGCATGAGGCTCTCAAAGACTGAGAAGGGCTCTGATATTACGCTCAGGGTAGCCATATAAGAACCTTAAATAGGCAGCCCTATTCCACGTACGAAAGGGTTAAAATAGGATTGGTTATTTTTCAGCATCAAATGCTTGGTTTCTTCTCTCGGTTTAATGACGTCTTAGCCAGCTGCTGCTGCGGCAGTCGCCCCTCTAATTTCTGTCCATCACAGGCCGTGTTTGCTAGCAAGGAGCTGCTCCTGAGCGCTGGATCAGGTTTGACTGGATGGCTGTAGGCTTTAAGAGAAATCAATCAGGTGGGTTTTGTTAAATTACTGGCCCCACAAAGGCACTGACTGGCGCCTCTAAAGACACCAATGCAGGTGCAATTTGAGAATGTTCCCAGCGATGCTGGAAAGAGAAGGGACAGGAAAGAAAAGGAAGCTTATGCTGTATCATTGCATTTAATGATGGGGAGTCACTAACTGCCCCATTTCGACCGGAAAGCAGGTTGGAGGGTAGCTGTTTCTACCAGTTATAAAAAATAATCAGCATTTAAATCACCAGATCCAAAATCATCCACATGTTAAAAGTCTGTTGCACAGCGGGGAAAGATGGAAAGCTCCTCTAAATGTTTGCTTCATACACTTTGTTCTTTCCACCTTAGTCTGGTCCTGCACAATCCAGCTGGCTGCTAGTTCTCTCAGGAAAGGCAACGATTACCAACACAGGTGGACTTCTCCTGTGCACTACACACAGAGAGCCGGCCCCGGGACTGGAGTCTCTGCTTTGGAAGTTAGCTCTCCACAAGAGAGCTCTTGGACTCGACGTACTCCAGCGCTGCTACTTTCACAGCCTGGATGGTTTCTGACGTGCCGTATTTCTTCTCGTAATCCAGGTAGCGTTTGAAGAAAAACTTCATCCTCTTGGCTGCCAGGCTCAGGTGAATGACCCGCTCAAAAATGTCCCTGCAAGAATCAAACACCCATTCAGAACATGATCAGGCATGGGGCCTGCATCCTGATACCTTGCCTCAGAAACAATGGGCGGGATGGGTTGTACCCTCAGTGGAAGGCAAAGGAAATGCAGTACATGCACTCAGCCTGTTAGAGCAGGAAAGGTCAGATCCCTGTGAATCAACGTGCTTCATAGCCCCCTTCCTCACTGCTTGCAGAGCGACCACGGTTATGGAACAAATGATACAGCTGGCTCTCTACATTCCACAGGATTCCACTGAGCTCAGGGATTGGTCCCAGGTTAGCTACACTTTGTGGCCAGCAAAGCACCAAGCAGCCCCCCTTCTTGCACCCTGGGCAGGCTTAGCAGAATTCAACGTTTAGTTCTTTTAACAAGTCTTTTCTGTTTGGATGGTTTTACAGCGGTGCACGATTATGAGCATAAGCATTTTTTTTAAATGTCATCCATTTAAATGTTCACTGTCACAGGTAATTATGGGGGGGTGGAAATCAGACAAGGGGGCGGGGTCAGACCAGAGATATTGAGATTCAAAAAGTTAAAGTCTTATAACCATGAAAGCCCAAATTGTCAAGTCACGTGAAAATACACGAGAAGTCATTAGTCTGAAATTAAAAGTAAGTTCTCAAGCAGCGTTTTTCTGGGAATTCCGATCCTCCTCCATGGAAATCTCTTTGCACTGGCGTGTGCGAGGGGCAACGTTGATGTTTCTCAATATTTACCAGTGAGGAGCTAATTCCTCCAGCACTAACTATGGGGAGAATGCAAAACGGAGGGGCTGGCCAGCTGTCGCTACCACTCTACATGCAGGGAGATGAACACACAGGCTCCTGGTGCCGAAAGAGCAGCAGCATTAAATAGAGAGGTTAGCTAGACTCTTGCTCCGCGGCCTCCGACATGGAACCGGTTACTGGAGGAGCGATCCAAGCAGGGAATAAAAAGAGGCCAAAATCCAGAAGTACCTTCCCGTGTGCTGGAATCCCAGAGAGTTAGATTGGAGTCTCTAGGTTGTAGGCTCTGCACTGCTGGAAATTCCCCGTCCACACCTGCCTATTGGACCCCTACAGGTCTCCTAACCCAGACCTGTTTGCCTCCCCAATAACAAGGATTCGCTGTTGCCCTGGGATCTTCCCTACTGCAGGGGGGAGGAGGAGAAGCGTTTTAAGCCTCGTACCTCCTCCCTCTCACCTCCCCACATCGCGAGCACTCACCGGACTTCCTTCTGGCTGCCGTGTTTGATCATCATGTCTATGTAGATGGACCAGATGTCCGTGCGTTTGGGGTAGCTGCTGAGCGTGCTCTCAAAAACGGCCTTGGCATGTTCCGGGTCCCCAAAGTGGAACTCCAGCTGGGCAAACTTGGAGATCACATCCACATCTGGGCAAGGAGAAGACACCCCCTCAAAGCACGGCACTCACCAGCAGGGGGCGCCCACCCCCTACATTCTCCCCCTCCCAACGCCTGCAGAAAGCTGCCACGGCAGCTGCTGTCGGCAGCCACTTCTTTTAGTCTCCGCTCAGAAAGAGGTTTGGGGCTGGGAAGGGGCTCTGCATCCCCAGACTGGAGGGCACCTGACTCCCCCTGTCAGTATTGCATCCGGCTCTCCTGGAGGGGATGTCAGAGGCGTAGGTCTCTCAGGTGTCCACTCTCCACGTCCTCCCTGGAACTGCGACTCAAATCCCAGCAGGACCTACTCCCAGCCTTTCCCCCTTCCAAAGCAGGGCAGTTGACTCAGGGTGGAGGTTTGGAGACCTTAGAAAACCAGATCCTGGCCGTGTGCAAAGCCCGTGGCTCGGCGTTCCAGCCGGGCTGGCCAAAAGACGCCCCCCCGGCTGCAGGGCGCCAGGAGACTGCAGCTGTTACCATGGCCAAAGACCAAACCCCGAGAAGCAGGAACCCAGTGAAGGGGAAGGCCGATACAGACCACGGTGTGGGTGAGCAGCCAGCCACTGGGCACTTACGTTCCTTCGCTGGCAGGCCCCTCAGGGCGCGATCCAGAAGCCTGTGCGTGGCCTCGGTCTGGCCCCGTTTCAGGAGGAAGGTGGCGTATCTCAGCCACACGGATTTCTCCTGGCGGAAACGTTTCAGCATCCGGTTGTACAAGTCATCCGCTTGCTGGAAGGACCCGAGAGCAGGAAGGACGGGTCAGTAACAGAGTGTCGGCTGACAGCCTCGCGCCGCAGCCTAGAGAACCTTCCCCCCCCCGCCACCACCACCACAGCCTGGCCTACACTTAAATTAGGCTGATGGCCACATCACTCCAAAACCCTTTACCTGGGCGTAGGCTGCAGCCAGGAGCGGCCTGAGGCGGGCTGTGGCAGTTGGCGCCCCAGGCAGAAGGCGCAACCAGCGCCCCCGCCGGCACGGCTGTCAATGGCTGGGACGTCATCATGGGGCACCCCGGTGCCCTGTGACATCATCATTGGGCACCCGGGCCGGCGGCGCCCTAGGCAACTGCCTAGTTTGCCGAGGCTCACGGGCCGCCCCTGGCTGCAGCTACACTCGCGGGTTACGCTGAGATAGCTCTGTTGGTACAGTCTCTAGTGCAATTTGTCGGGGGGAGGGGCAGAGAATATCAGTAGCTCCTCCCCCTTTGATAACACAGATGGAGAAAGCGGAGTTCAGAGCAGCGGAGCGACGTCCAAAGATCAAACAGCAACTCACGGCCGAGCGAAGAGCAGAGCCCAGGTCTCCCTCCCCCCAGGCCTATGCCTGGCCCAGCTGTTGCCCCCCCAAAAGGGCATTTCCTCTGTGGCTCCTGACTATAGAAGACACAGTAGCTCTGGAGCAGAGAGGTATCCCACTGGGCCTTTCCCCTCTGCACTCTGGGAACGGGATACAGGCCTAGGGTTTATGAGACAGCAAGTTTGGTGTTCCCCCTCCTGGTCTCCGGAGAGAGTCCGGCCTGCCTATCACTGCTAGGCCAAGCCAAACCCAGGAGCAGTGGTGAAGTCAGGGCTTGCCTAGCACCTGCATTATCGATCCAAGCTCTAATGAGCATGACTGGCCCCTCCCCCTTTCAGGAGAGCCAACTCCAGAGGGTCTGGAGGAAATTAAGTTTTGGTTACAAACCGATCATCCCGTTATGCCACACAGGGAACAGATGAACAGGCAGGGGCTGCGCAGGGAAGACCCGCGTAAGAAATAAAGAGATGGCAAATTCCCTTGTTGTTCCAGCAGCTCACCCAGGTCTGCACCGTAATTCTATGGCTGGGGGGCAGATGCTGGGTTCGGCTGGGCACTTAAGACCGGGAAAGGGGGGGTGTTTCCTGCCCTACTGGCGAGCAGCAAGGATTCTGCCACTCAGCACCTCGGGGGTACAGGCACCCACCTGGTACTTCTCAGAGTTGGCATAGATGTCGGCCAGGTGCTGGAAGACTTTCAGAGGCTCGTTATATTGCACAGCCCGCTCTCCAGGTTGAGCAGAGCCACCCACACGTTCAGCTTCTCCTGCTCCTCCCTGAGAGAGGAACAGGGCAAAGATTTTGTTCCCTGGGGCTTGCAGTTATTCAGGAGGGGTCGGGATTTCCTGCCGGGGTGTCCTCACAGGTCTCTGGCTCCGTCGATGAGAAGAATCAGAAGGCTGCTTGCGTGTGCGCTCAGTGATGTGGGCCGTGTCGACTTGTGCACTCAGTCTCCACAGCAGAGCCCGAGAGGCCCCCAGAGACCACAAACCAGATAAGGACTGAAGGTGCCTGGCCAGGTTTATTGTTAAGCTAAGTGCAGTCATAGCTGTCAAGACTCTACTGAACCACTTTGCATATGTACTTGCCACAATGGAAAGACTTACGTCAGTGGGAAATTTCCACTGCCCCCCGGTCTTCCAAAGACGGTGTCTCCCCCCAGCACCATTTTATATACAGGTACAAACAACTTACACCTCATTGTTGATGTGTCAGGGTACCACCCTCTGACGCTACTTAGCTACCACCCATCACCCTGTACCTCGTGGTTTGATGAGATCATCTCTATCCATCATGCTGTCGTTTCAGACCCTTTCCTGAACCTGGGTCTGTATCTGTGAGGAGGGGGTACCAAGGTCTTTTTTAATGTGCTTTCCACTTATGACCAGCACCAATTAGTGTTCTGCACTCTCAGCCCTGTTCGTGCCAAGTTCTGTGAACAGGGGCCTACCTCTTGCTCATTGTTTAACTTTGCTTTATGTTAGCTAGGCCTCAGACCAGGCCTGTGCTACATGGGCTTCTGTTTTAGGCCTTCATCTTACTACAGGGCAGAGCTGGGTAGTTGTACCGTGTAGTCTTACTGTGCCCCATGAAACAAGAGGAGGCAAGGAAGAATTGTGTAACCAATTGAAGCTGCCTGGAGAACGTAGAGGTGGCGGCGGAATGATCTGACTCATGGTGAAATAAGTCCACCGTGCCCAGGGTAACACCCCCGACTCCCATGGAAAGAGCCAGGAGAGTTCTAGGCCCCCTCGAAATGAGCATCACAGTGCCACCTTGGGACACGGGTTCAGAAAGACCCTGGCACCTATGGAATCAACTCCTCTCTTGGCAGCACCCATTCATTGCCATACTGCTCCCACCCCGGGCGGAACTGGACTGCCGTGTACGACGGGCTGGATGTGGCCGACGGAGTGCCACCGCTGCAGGCTCGCCTGGGTCCTCCCCCGAACACGGCGAGCTGAGAACTGCAGCCCTGCAGGACGAGGGGGCTGCTGGAGCGGCACGTTTTATGCCCCACCCAGATGCTGGAGTCCCTGCATTGAGTAAGGGTGTCCACGGCACGGAGTGGGGGAAGGGCGTTTTACCTGAAGGAGATGGTTTTGAGCGCCCTTTCCGCCACGGCCCTGGCCTTCTCGATCTCCGTGGCTTGGAGGTGGAAGGCCATGTACTGCAGCCACAGGATGGAGCTGTTGGGATTGCTCAGCACCGGCTGCCGACCGGGGTCCATCAGGGCAGCTTCCATCTTGGAGAGCTCCTTCTCCACCCGCTGCTTCTCCTGCTCCTTCTCCTTCTTCGTCCGCTTCTTCCCCTGAAGCGGGCCAGGAAAGGGGTGAGACCGGGAAGCAGGGGCACTGGGGACTAAGTCAGGAAGATGGAGGCAGGACAGCCGCACGCTGGAGGACGGGGGCGGGGAGGGCTTAGAATCGCCTGGGGTCTGAGTCTCAAACCAGCAGCGTCCCATGGGAGAAGGGACGTGGGTTTCCCTCAAAGCACCGCCAGGGCCTGAGCGCATCCCCACGCTGGGCACCTCTGACTGCTGCATTTGGGATTTCCTCCCCAGCTTTGTGCCACGGCACAAGCCTAGTGCTCACTGGTGCCAGCGTCGTTTTGTGCTCTGGAGAGACCAGGGCTTGGAAGGACGGGGGTGCGAATGGCTAAGATTGTGCTGCAATGGCAGAACCTCCACGGACAGGCTGAGGTACCTGGGCCAGGCAGAGAGAAGGAAACCAAGCTCATGCAGCACCGACCCCCACTATCCCTCCACGAGCACCCCCGTCCCCTCACACGTGAAAGAGCATCAGACGGCCCAACCGGTGAAGCAACTTCTTTGGGTGGACGCAGCCTTTGCCCTCCGACCCGAGGCTCAGTCAGATAACCCTAACCCTGACAGATACAGAGCCAGCGAGGGACCAGAAGGCCAGCGACAGCAGCAACCACCCTGCTAGGATACCGTACCGTGGTCTGTGCCTCTTCCTCCTCGTCGCTGTCCGAGCTCTCCTCCTGATGGTGCTGCCCAGGCACCTCCAGGGCATCGAAACCCTCGTCCCAAGTGAAGCCACTAGAAACCTGCAGCCTTGGAGCCTCCACTCGACTGGTCCCCTGCTCGAAGGAGGACAGTAGAAGATGCCGCTTTATGGTCCAGTCTTCTACAGGGAGGGGGCCTAGCTGTCGCCCACCGCCTAGCCTGTGCACTGTCCAAAGTGACACCTGAAATTCCCCACCCCCGCCAGAGTGACTTAGGCATAACACATCGTGTCCATGGAGGGATAAGCAGTTAGAGAAACAAGCTCACTGGAGAATTTCAATCGCATTCTGGAGCAATGAGAATAAACTGTTTGCCTTTATACAGAAACTTTCATCCTGCCACCGCCCCCTCAAATTATGTTTGAGAAAGAGAGCCATTGCTTCACTCAGTACTGGAATGCAGGCACTTCTGGGGAGGAACCTGATGGCTGTGTGACAGCACAGCAGAACAGGAAGCAAACTCTCTCTAGTTGTAACGGCAGTGAACCCCCAGACTGGAGGTGGCCAGGTCGCTGGAGCCAACACACCTATTTCTTGTGGGAGAGGACAAAATACCCAAGTGGCCAGAAAGACGAGGGAGAATCACCCACATCTCTGGTTTCCCTTGACGATCTCCCTTCCCAACACTGGCCAAACCCCTTTCTTGCCCAGGTGAAAACTCCCTGCCTCACCCCCACGGGAACAATCTTCCTGTGGGAAGAACAGAAAGTTACAGGACTCCTGTTCTAGATGTCAGGGCTCTGGTTACAGTACAGAGAGCTGCCTCCCTACAGACGGCTAGTAACCAAACTCACAAAGAGCCACATGCACGACCTCGGTTCTTTTAGGCACAAAGAGGAGGGGTTGCTCTCTCTCATCTGCGTATGAAGAGATAGGTCAAAGCAAAAGCTCTGACAGCCTGTTACCTTCATGTTGCTCACCAGCATAGGAGAAACTGGCACATCCCCATGAAAGCCATGTGTCCTGTAACAGCACACCCCAAAAACCCCCCCCCCAGCCAATTCTTTGCTTTTTCATATTCTCTTTACGGCTCTGGTTCTTCCTTCACCATATCCTCTCACCTTGGGTTTCCTTTTATCCTCCTCCTCCTCCTCCTCCCGGCAATAGACCTCAACACCACTGTCATCTTCGTCCGTCGCCCGAGCTCGCTTT